TCCAAAAGGGGCAACTCCCCCTTCAGGGCCCAGCCAGGTCTCGGTGATACATGCCAGGTCTGCTTGTTCCTCAGTGATTAGATCACACAGAAGGGGGGCCTTGTTGTTAACTGACCTGGCGTTAAGAAGCAGCAGCTGAAAGCCAGGGCCTCCATAGGTCTGCTGTCCAGGACCTGGGTCTGAGTCCAGAGGGCCGGAATACGCCACCGGTAACAAACACTGGGAGCATCTTCCCTGAGAGCTTCTCTCTTAAATGTGAATTTCAGTCCATTTATCTACATTCTTTCCCATTTGTCCATTTGTATGTTATAACCAAAATTCACAGCCCATTTTATCATGCAGTCCTTAACTCGTTCATCTTCAGTTTCAAATCTTAACGAAAGCATATATATTTTTGCAATAGCACCATAACTGTCTCAGTGTAAGTCTTCTTGCTGTGGCGCAGAAGTAGATGGAAGGGGCTCTGACCAGGGACTCCAAGGAATTTGCCAGCACATGCCACTGGGCATTTAAGCTCCTCTTATTCTCCCCTTCTAAATTGTACTGGGTATTATAGCACTTGTCTGCACACTGATTTCCTTTTTAATTTCCAGAGAGGAAAGCAAAATCAACAGAGCTTAGTTAACCATAAGTATTGATTGTGGCGTAAGCGTTCATGAATTCAAGTAAAAAAAAATACATGCTCTAATATTTTTTAATTATATATAAACTTTATGTTTCAAAACTAACCTATTGCTGCCTGATGTAACATAATAAACATTTTATTGCAGCCAAGGATATCAAAAGTTCTTTTTAAATTATTTTCAGTTATATGTGTACTTTCCCAATTTCTAATCTTCTCTTTCTTAATATTCTTATTATATAAGGATTCCTTGTTCCTCTTTGATTCCTAAAATGATCAGTTCTCAATTCATTATTCATTTTTAGCTTTTATTCCAGTCTCGCTTTAATTATCAGTTATTCTGAAGCATGGCCTTATAAACTGTACTTTTTCACATGCTATCTGGAGGATAAGTATTATGTAATTCTGAATATATAGTGTTCAGAATTCAAGAACTGAGCCTGAACTCCAAAGTACTAGGGCAGGGGATTAAATCCAATTGCACATGAGTTTCCCTCCACACCTTCTAAATCTGCTCCAGAAAAAGAATGATTGTATAGTGTATATAGTTCTCTCAGCAGCTACTTCTGGGAATTTGCCTGAGTCAAAATACAACACAGTTGCAGTAGTAATCTGCATAACTAGGCATTTGATTTCTATATAATGCTCTTTATTCTCTAATTGATTTTCAGCTTTTAAAATGCAATTCTAAACATTTATTTTGAAGTAAAATTTATTTAAAAGTTTAAACTTAAAAACCTACACTTTTAAAGTATGAGGGCAGAATATGCAAAATTGTATTCAATTCCCATGTAATTACTTGTCTTTAGAAGCCAGGTTCAACTAAAGACCGAACAACTTCATCCATTCTCTGACTTATAATTTATTTTCCTGTTTAGAATAGGACTGGAGAAAGTTTCTGAGGTAGGATACTAATCAATTCCGCTTTAATACATGTTATCTGAGATATATGAAATGGTTTCTCTGAGATGCATTTTGTGATAATAAAAAGAGAAGAAACAATATACAAATGAAGTCTGCAAAGGAGACTGATTTTGAAATGTTTAACACGAAGTGGCAATGGCTGGTTGTAGTCCCCTGTAGTTACTTGGTTTCTGCATTAAAACATTCTTTAGTATTTTTGCATATTAAATAACAAGCTTTGCTTTTAAATGTTATATTGGGACAATGGATCCTTTAAATAAATTTGGAATAGATACTGCTACCTTGCAGTTAGCTGTTTGATTTGTGTATGTTGCTTACTAAGCAGGAGATGGCTTACTTTCCAAATAATTTTTCGCATACATATATATAGGAATGCGAACAAATAGAAGTAGGAATGAGAAGAATGCTTGCTATCTATGTATACTTCTATTTATATTTTAATGCTTCTACAGTGCATTACTTAAAACTACTAAATAATTCTGTATGCGGTACAATAACCTAAGAATCTATTGTCATAGAAATGGAGTACTAGCTAGGAGTAATTTTAGTTGGCAGTATTGCATCCACATGCATTGGAATATTTGCAGCATTTCTGAACACCAAAATTACATTTCAAAAACTTTAAAAAAAACTTTTTTTTTAAAATGGTCCAGATCATACAAAACTGCTAAATCTCAAGAAATTCTGAGATTCTTACTTAGAAAATGGATAATGAATAAGTTGGCTGAATGGAATCAAAGCAATTACTGGAATGTCCTCGGAACAGCTATGAGTTATTGCAGAAGACTGGTCAATATCCAAACATTTATCCATGCAGTGGCATTTAACTTACAAATATATTTAATCTCCCTGATTTTAAATACCTTTTTTTCATTGTTTTATATTTGTTGTTTAGTTATATTTTGGTAGCTGTAAGTTGATTTGAATGTGTTTACAAAAGAAAGCAGGGAAGGATATTTAAAATAAATGAATAAAGTACTTTAATAAAATAAACTATACTAATCTAATCTAGTTCTTGGGAAGCCAGCACAAAGCCACCCTTTCCAGTTATCCTAATTACAATTATAATCATAATTATCATTCAGGGTTCCACAACCCTAGTGTTCTAGGAAAACTCAAGGAATGTAGTACTGGAAGTCAAAGTCTATTCTTGCTCTTTCCCAGAGTGAATGAATACTAATGTATTCATGTGAATTTGCTCTCTGCATGTTATGTCTTGATTTTATGTTTAAATAATATGATCATTGAAATTCAGTTTATTCCTGGGGGCAAGAAATAAAAGAGGAAAAGGCTGGTTATCACAATAATAAAGCATAGATTTTGGATGTAAAAGGCTCAGTGTCTGGTATATCCAGATGCAGCTAGTAAAATCGCGTGTCTGAATTCCCAGAGCTCATTTATTACAATTAATAGCAAAACATGGCTTGGTGTCCACTTCTTTTTACACAAGAGGGCAGCAGAAACCCTCTGAGCTTTTCAAGTTGTATAGTTTTACAAATGCCATAAGAACAATTATGACAGTAATAAAAAATAATCACTTTCTTCTGAATTTACAGTAGAAAATGGCTTATCCCGAACAAGAAAAAAAGCTTTATAATATTAACTAATTACAGAAACATATATTTTAATTCTTCACAAAGTATGAGCTCTATTTTTGTGGAATTCTAATAGAGAAGGGATATGTTTCTATCTTATTTAAACCATCACCACTTTTATATATTCTTTGTTTTAGAACACTGCAGATTCATTGAAGAGATACAATAATGACAAGTTAACCTTCAACTTTGAATCTCTGTTCTGAAAAATAGCAAAAGGCAACAAGAAATTATGGTATCTAGGAAACTTGGAAGTTATACAATGGGAACAGAAGAATAGTGTGATATTCTAAGAATGGAAGAATGATCACTGATAATTTGATCAGCAATGCTTGGTGAACTGAACATATTTAAATATATATATATATATCCATATCCATATCCATATCCATATCCATATCCATATCCATATCCTTGTAGGGTTTATACTTTCTCTTAAGGGAGCAATTCAGAAAAAAATTGGGGTAGCAGCAGGGGATCATAATACCTTTGTTGTTAGTGTTGCAGCTCCACTTGTTAAATGTAACATGATTAGTTCTCCTTATAATCATTTTTTTAACTTGGTCTTTTTATACAAGAGGCTTACTTTCAAAAATAAGTTTAACAAGTCCTATGTTGTAGTTCGTTAATAAAATAATGTGGTACTGGCAAATTACCAAAAATCAAGGGCAGGTAGCAGATAATTCTATTCCTTATAAGACCAGTGTCACATTTTACATTTTGTTATGGCCATAACATTGTCTTTAGACCAACACACAAGAAATTATATATATTGCTGCCAGATAAAAGTAATAAAAGTAATAAGGGAGTCCAGTTATTTATAGGAAATAAGTGCATTCTAGTAAAATATACTCTTGTTGAAAAACGGTCATAATTCACTGTGGTTACCTGTCCTGTTTCTGCAGGCTTGAAGAAAACACTACTAATTAGTTTTGTACAGCTTCTTCTCTACAAATTCCACTTAGAAGAATGACAAATGTTTATTATTTGATTATTGGTCATGAGGATCTAAAATATATATTAAAATTGGTATTTGCATACACATATACAGTGTATATGTATGTATCCATATCTATATCTGTCTGTTTCTGAAATACAAATAATATAGCAGAAATCTGTCATAGAAAAGTTCTGATATATTTCATGTTTTTAGTAGGTTATGTTTTGCATGCTTTGAAAATTGTTCAGAAGAGTGCTTGAGACTTTGAACACAGCTCATTTTGTTATTCATTAAAGCAGCCCAACTTTTTTTTCAAATTCCCACTGCTCCAAGGAATCCATTCATTAAAATTAATGAATTCTGGACTGTAATAAAATATTGAACTGAATTAAAATTAATGTAATTCTTAAAACATATTTGAGATTTATAATATAATACTCTTAAATAAATCTTAAATATCTTCCACTAAAATAAGATTTGGAAGTGCTTAACTATGGATAAAATGTTCTATATGTTAGGTTGTAAAAACAGTATTTGTTTCAATTAACAAAAATACCTTTCAGAAAAATAATTGTGTCTTACAGTGTCCCATATAGCAAAACGTAGAGGTTCACAGTCAGAAAAAAGTACCTTTTGTATTTCCACATATTATACCTTATAGTTCTAAAGCCAGACATCTAAAATAACTGGTCTGAAGAACTGCAAAAATTTGGGATGATTTATAATCCCTGATGCCATGCAATTTCTGTTTATACGCTAGACTTCGAAGCTATAGCTCTTAATATGCTCAGTATTTTCAATATTGAAGGGTAAAAAGAATTCCTAGCCTCTAATCTGGTAAGTTTTAAAATAATTTGGTTATATACTTCTGAATATTTCATTGAAAAGAAACATTGCTATTTGATATTTAATTCTGAATATGAAGTAAGTAGATAGGCAGAGGGTAGGATAGATAGATAGATGGATGATACGATATGATATGATATGATATGATATGATATGATATGATATGATATGATATGATATGATATGATATGATGTGATATGCATCCTTTGCCCTTTTATTGTGATGTAGTGATACTGTGACTTACTGGGAAAAGAACATTTCTATCTTACTTACAAAATTGGGAATAATATCATAAATCAATGTTTACTTCTACCAGAAGCACCTTATTCTGTTAAACCATCTCAAATTGATCAGTAGTTGCTGTTATTTAAAGATACATGCTTTAACCATTGTTGATTCACCTTGCATAGTAGCTGTAAATATTTTTTTCCCAAAGCTTCTATATGTTTAATATTCCAACTTCTTCATGTACAAAAGTGATTTAGACATTAAATGAATATATTTTAATATAGCTACAAATTACCCAAGTCAGAATTGCAGGTGCACATGTCCACTTCTTCAAAGGGATCACCCAGGAATCAAGTTACAGTCTAGTTCTGTTTTTAAAGCCCCACCAATCAGCAGACAGAATTGAACAAAACAAGAAACTTTCCCATAGAAAAGACAAGCCTCATTGCTCCAGATGGAGTTTTGTAAAAAAATTAACTTTTAACAAATAAATCTTCCTTTTTCACTGTAAGTTAATTTTAAGTCTCTTTTAAATACCACTTTTCTTCCAGCTTTTTGCAAATTAATCAGCTTAGTTTAAAGCTCTATTTCTTCATTTAAAAATATAGCCCCAGAAATAAGGATAACCCCCAAGAGTTTTACATATCTGTTGTGAAAGAATGTCTCTCTCGTGCTGAAAAACAGTTTAAACCGAAGTGTTTAAGAAATGAGAATCGTTCGGCTCTAGTGTCCATTAAAGGCTGCACCACAGCGGTGAATGGAGATGGTTCCCCCGCCTCCCAGTCACTCGACTTGAAAGCCATTCACAGAGGTTTCGGAGCCCATGATTAGCTTCCAGGAACGGCTGTATGGAGACTGTATGGGTCGATTTCCTCACTTGCTCCTTAATCTGCAGCATGTTGGGCGGCCAGCACTTGCTGCCAGCTACCAGTCCAGCTGTGGTGTCATCTCTCCCTATCTTGGAGAGCAGTTTAAACCGCCATGTTCCCACCGGAAGTGGACTGGGGCCAGACATCTCCTTAGCTACCTCTGATTAAAGTGCAGTCTGCCTCCAGGCTGAATGAAGACCAGTTAAATAAAATACAGGAACCTTTGCCCCAGAAGACTGTTATTTTCTGTACAAATAAACTATCTAAACAAGAATGTGGATTAGTTGTTGTTTTTTTTCTTTCATTTTTCTGTGTGGTATAAAGTATAGGTATCTCATTTTAAAAAGTAAAGTTAAACAGTGGGCTTACATTTTATCTCTTTTCAAAATGAATTTCAGTTTTGTTATCTCTGATGAGATCCATTTCCCAATGAGTAGAGGAAGGGCTGAATCCTCTAGTCCCATGCATATGTGTTACATAGATAGAAGGTTGCCCTTTTGAAATTATTTCACTTCTTTGCATTTAAACTTTGACTCATCAGAAAGGCAACGTGGGTTGTAAGAGCTCTGTCTTTTGCGGACACTATGGTTGGGGAGGACATCAAGCTACTTCCTCTAGAAGATAGACAGTAGTGTCAGCCCTTTGAGGTAGGCCAGGCCAGGAAATAGACATCACCAGAAACACTAGAACCTCTACTTTAATGATATAGGCTATAAGAACAGAATTTTGAAAGCCTGACAGAGTTTCTCCTTCCATCCCTCTTAAATCCAGGAAAGTCAAGGCAGGCCAGTCTTCACTTTCTTCCTCATCTCTACCTGTCTTCCCAGGCTCAGCTGATGTTTTTGTAACAGCTGCCTCATATTTTCATCAAGGATATTTCTCTATTCCTGTACAAGTAGCAGCAGGAAGCAAGATGCTATGCCCAGGCAGGAGGCAGAACCAGGAAGTAAAAGGCTTCTGGAAGAGGAAATTTGAGAACTCCAGCATACTACCCTATGGGCTCAGTTGTTTCACTATAAGTCCATAATCCAAAGTAAAATAGATTCTTAATAATACTAAGAATCAAATTTTCATGATAGACAGACGGATGGAAATATGTTAAACTCATCCAATAAATTCACTATGTTAAAAATATAAAAGGGAAAGCTTAATTTATTGATGTGATTTTATTTACTTACAACTTATTTTTGTCTTAATGAAAATTCTTATGTTTCAGGACCAAATGTTTTCGTGGGAAAAAAGTCCATGGAGAATATGACATCAGAGTTGAACAGGTATTCAAAAAAATTACAGTCATATTACTCACATAATTTTTTTCTAGGGTTAAGTATTATTTCGGAGTGCTGAGGATGGAATAAATTGACATTATATAAAACTATTTTTGACCCAACGGTAATAATGAAATTACATAATACAGTGAATAAAATATTAATTTTTTTAAGGTAAGAATGCTTGACATGGATTTTCCTTAACATAGATGTTTTAAATAAGGGCTTTAAGCCTGCTTAGTGTTCATTTCTAAATACACATTCTTCTTTTAAAGATGCTGGTATTTATTAAGGCAGTGAAGCTTTAAAATGGACGATTAGTTCATGTACCTTCCCATCCCTTCTAGATGATTCAAAGGATATTTAAAGACTTGATGGGATTTTTTTTTTTTTTTACTTTGCAAGAAACATTGTTACTCTCAAACACTGTTGCATTATAGCCCATATATGAACAAAACTGATAGGAAGTTGAGTGATGGGATGGATCTCAGAAATTAGCATGAGTAGTTGGCCAGAGTGTTTTTACCACTTCTACAAACTCTTCCCGTGAGAACAAATGGAAGAATGCTCCCTCATTGTTTTGATATAATTTGTTCAGGTTGTTTTGCTTGAAGGAGAAAGAGAATGTGAAAGAAATTTTGCTGTTATTTTTTTTTTAAATCAGGCTTGCTCTTTCTTCAATCCCACAGTATGTTTTTCATGCAAATAGGGTTAAAATTATATTCCTGTCCCAACATCTAGCAGCCTTTAACGCAGGAGATACAGTAGAACAGTTGCTGAAAGCGTACCACCCCCTAAATATCAGAAGAGCCACATAATAACTTTCTTATTGTGCCTGTAACTACTTTTTCATTTGAGTACTTTTGTTGCACAGATGAATTTTAATTAAAAGCATATGTCTAATGATTAAAATTTATATTATATTTACTTAGGAGTATAATATAATCATATTCACTTGGAAAAGAAATGAAGATAATTATAGTGCAATGGATCATTGCCTTGAGGAGTTTTTGTTGACTTAATGAAGTGAAGAATGTTGGATTTGCAAGAGAAAGTGAATGGAACAGATGGGTTAAGAGGTGTGAAGGAGAAATGGAAGATAGGAAGAACAGGAGATGCATGGGGAGAAGAGCTGCAGCTAAAAGAGTTAGGGGTTGTAATGCTGGCTGAAGGCTTGGACAACCAGCAGATTGCTGGGGAAGGTGAACATGGAAGCCTCCAAAGGTGAGGCGACAAAAGGAACAACTGAAAAAGCAAGATATGAATCCACTAGCGAACACTGACAGGGCCCCTAGGATAAAACCTTCGAGTTTCTGACATCTGTAGCTGCATATCTGTGGCATATCTGTGGAAATTGTTGCCAGGCTGACAGTCACAGACAGTGGCAGCAAGAAGGTAGTTTCCATTACTGGTCCTCCCTCCATGTAAACAGCCTCAAGGCTGGAATTCGCTGTCATGTAGTGAGTGGTGTCATGCAAGGAATCTTTTACCAGGATTTACCAGGTGGAAATATTCTAGTGAGGATAGATGAATATAGGAATGTTTCTTTAAGAGTGCCACTTTTCTTAGAGAGTGCCCCTTTAAGAGGAATAGAAATTAAAAGAAGTGTGAGTGAACATTGGAAGGTAGTTTTAGAGGACAGAATTGTAGATGTTGTTGGCTGAAGATTGTTTGGGTCTGTGGGAGTTGGGGAATATGGACTGGAAGGGCTGACTGGTTAGAGTCAGGCAACATCCAAAATGAATGAATGAATATATTCATTCATTCATTCATTCATTCATTCATTCATTCATTCTCTGGGTGAGATATGGAGTTTGGCTGCAGAATGG